TAAATAATGTTTTATATAACTTTCTCAATATTTTTATGTATTTTTCATTAGTTTTACCTTTGAATATTGTTTAAGAATGACTATATAAATATTTACATGCCTAGAAATGTATAAATATTGGCATATTTATTAACTTTGAACCCCCATAACTATTTATGGGGGTGAGACCGCCACGAACTTTTTATGGTACAGTGGTGGGGGAGACCTCCTCTTTCGATCCTCTAGACCTCATCTAGACCTTTACCGAGAGACCTTTAAAATTGGCTGTGATTTATTAAAATTGCGCCTTTTTAACCGCAATTTGCAAAAAATATGATAAAAATCTATTTGTACAAATTCGTGCCATGTAAAAAATATTGAGTAAAAATATGTCAAATTTCGTAAAAATGTTCCTTTACTGGTATTAAAAATATGTATCAAGTTTAAAATCGCCATGCTTTAAACTTTTCGAATAATTGTATGTGTGTACCTGCGTGGGTGTATTTATTTGTGTTTGTGTGGATTTGCGTGTTTGAAAGTGAATGTTTTTATTTTAGAGGATTGGGGAGTGTCTCGTAATAGTTGGTGTATTCTTCAGGGAGATCTGAAGTTTGGCAGGAGGGAAGGGGATATTGTTCTTTTGTTTTTGACTATCGTGAGTAAAAGTAGACGTTCTGCCAGCAACTGGTCTAGTCTAGTTAGTAAGTTGAAAGAAGAAAGTAATTTGGACGTACAAGTCCAATAAGCTCACGATCAGCTGAATCGGACACCCCTTTAAAAATATGACGACTTGCATTTCTAAAACTTTCTATTTCAAAAATAAGTACATTTGTTAAATAGTAATAATTAATAATATGAATAATATGTCGCATATAGTATTCACAATAGATCTTCGCAAATTATTTGTTTGTAATTTTCGTTTCTCAGTGTATTCGATAGACTTCTACTAAAACCAATCTAAAGCTTTCCCATACCACACCAGCCACAATTTGAGCAATCCTCAAACCAACTGCTAATGATCTGGATAGAAAATAAATAAGCATACGTCGGAGTAGCATTTCGATTATTTGCAAATGTTTTTTTTTAAGTAAAATCGACTTCAATTTAGATCACATTTTGCAAAAAGCATTTTAATTTTCCTGCATATTTCATTAGATTTTTATTACATCTTTCTATTAATTTTGAAATGACAGGAAATGTCAAAATGGATAAAGATTTGTAATTCAATGTGCAAGCATTATATCAAAAGCGTAACAACCACAACCATAGTTTCCATATGGAATGTCAAAAACTTTCGTACTGTAAGTGCTGTCTTGTCTTACACACAAATGCATTTTTGTATGCACTGAAAGGCGTTATTTTTATTTTTTGTTGGTATAGTCAAAATAGCGTTTTTGAAGGCGTCGACTGCTTCTTCTAGTGATTTTTTTGACCACGCAGTATTTTCATGATTTTCGGAAACATAATGGAACCTTTGGGACTACACGAAAGAACAATTCGACATTCTGTTACATTAAAAATTCTTACGAGCTATGTATGAACTTGCATTGTCTTCATGAAGAATTAATATTCGTTGAGTTTTCGAAGCTTAGCGACGACTTACGGCAAGCAAATGGTTGTATATCAATCAGTAGGAAGACTTCTGTTATCCTGAAAAGAATGATCTGCAATTGAGACAAATCTTTTTGGCCACACTTCGAAAACGAACGACTTTTGTTGGTGTTTCGTCATCTTGGAACAGTCAAATAGGCGACTGGCGTTTATTTTCTTGTTCATATTATTGGCTATACTGTACACATGCTTTTACAGTTTCTTTTGTTGAAGCGGTGCAGTTTTCATTGGCACTAAATTGATTGTACCTTCTTTCTATTTTTCTATCAACAGGTACGCTATCCAGCTGGGCGCTAATCTTTTTACCGTCAATCCATCATGCAAAATTCATTGAATTGAAGTCTTTGAAATCCCCAACGACACCCGGGTCTCACTATTTGTCACATATAGATCTTCCTTGATAAGCTTATGCACAGCGTCAACGTTTCCCTGGATGGCTGCCGTTTTTGATGCACCTGCTCTTGGATCGTCGCGAAGACTTATCCATTCATTTTTGAATTCTTCATTCCAACGCCAAATTGTCGACTGATGTGGCGCTTTATCACCAAAATTTGAAACAAACTGGACGAGGCATTCATGTTGAGGTAATTGTCTTCGAAAGTTGTAATTTTTCTCGGTTTGGTTCCATTGTTCAAATAAGTTGTCAATTATGAAAATTCACTGTATCTACAACACATTGGGTATGTATCACACTGAAACCTTTAATGGAGATTGAGTTTTAGCAGTGACATTTTATTAGCGCCGCCTACTATGTCCATGTACGCAAAACGTAGAAGTATAATTTATTAATTCGACTGTATTTGTCTTGTGTGTATGTTACGCGACTTCTTCGTCGATTGTGAACCGATTATAGTAATTCTCTTTTTATTAGATGGGTCATATCTCAAAGATGATTCCATTTAAATTTAAAGAAAATATTCAACCTGTAAGAATGGAAAATTAAGAAAAGATTCCCATTTTTAAATTCTTAGCTTAAGTTTATGCATACAGACAAAGTATTGAATTCGTCAGTGTATATTGGTAATGGATCTACAGACTAAACCAAAAGCTGCAATAGAAGTTTTAAAATTGAGGTTTAGTGTCTTTTATAGCTGAAGTTTCCAGAATGTTAAAGGATATTTACGGAAATTAAACAATGAAAAGGGTAGGAGTAAGCAAGAAAATTTGAAGGGAACCAAACCAAAACGGAACCAGAGCTAAGTCTAACGTCTGAGGGTAATGAAGTTTGACGATCTTGTACTACACGATTTATTATTATTTATTGGTTTATTCCTTAAATCTCTTCCTTGACTTCTGAACGTTTGTTAAAGCTAATGTCTTACGGATTTCAACGTAAGTCTACAATCTTTGATGAAAAGTTATTCACTTTACTTTCAAGTCTAAAACATATTCTCGTCATCTTTGTTAGAAAAAATATTAAAGTTTTAGCCGTGGGGGTTTGATAAACTTTAATGGATTTTGATTTATATTGTAAAAGAAGTACTTAATAACAACGAACTATTTTTACTCTACTTTCGCTAAATACGCATATAAATTTTCATCGGTATGAAGTACAAAGCAATGGAACGAGGTTACGAAAGAAGAAAGAGCCAAATTAAAAACTGACATTTCTTGATTTACAATGTTTATTATCCCTCTTATACATTATTATTCATTTATGTAGTCAATCCTCATGCTTTCCTTTGGCGTGAGTTGTGACCTCTCATACTCGAAGTAATCTATTGCTAACTGAATTAGCTAAGTAAGAGAAACATTTCAGCCCAACATCAACAACTCCTATGGATAACACCATTCCAATTTCCAAAAGCGATGACACTAGGAACATGGCTATATGAAAGAAAACTAAAATAACCCTTGAATATTCCATCACAAGGATATAAATGATTACTATCCAACCTTCTTTACCGATACTTCTTACTGGAACTACATTATCTTCAGAGCAAAATTTGGAAATGAATACCTATATTAAAAATTTTGTTATTTTTTGCTTTTTTGACATATTTAAGTGTCAATAAACCCAACAAGATTGCCAGTAAACTAATTTTGTTTGTATTTATAGACAGAGTAAGCTGTCATAGAACAATTAGAACAATTTCGGATACACTATCTGCCTCTATGGAATATAACTATTCTAAAGGCTTGCAAAATGTCGACGGACATTTCTGCAGTAATTTTATGAGATTGCTGCAACTGACGAAACCTACTAATCATGTTCAATTTTAACCACTACATCATCATTATCATAAGGTCGTCAGTCCTAAGACTGGTTGGACACACACCTCTACTCTTATCTATCCTGAGCTAATCTTCGCATTTTCCTAAAACTAGAACATCCCACATCCTTAACTATTTGCGGACAGTAATCTAATCTAGGTCTACCTCTACTCCTCCTAACTCCTGCTTTTGCCTAAGTCTAAGAAGGTGTCCTACCAACCTATCTCGCCTATTTCTTATTGACTTCCATAGAGTCCTTTGTTATCCTATTGTTTCTAATACCTCTTCATTTCTTTTTTCTGTCGCGCCCACTGTCCATGTTTCGCACCCATACAGCGCCGCGCTCCAAACATACAACTTTAACAACGTTTTTTGAATTTCCAAATTAACCGTTCACGAGCATAAAAGTGACTTCTTTTTAATGAACGCGACTCGACCCTGCGCTATCCTCTGCTTTATATACCTACTACTCGTTTCGTTCTAACTCATCTAACTTCCTAGATACCTAAAATGAGTCATTTCTACTAATTTTTCGTCTCCTATTTTTATATTCAACAATTTTACCCCATTATTTTGAGGTTATCTGTAGTAGCAAAAATTAGTTAAAAAATTAATTCACTTTAATGTAATAACTAGTAATAATGGTATATCTGGTACAGTAGCATAGTTGAAATATCTTTCAAGTTTCTCAATTATATTTTGCAGAGTTTAGCTTTTTATTTCATTATTTTCGTTATTGGTAGTTTTATTTTCCTCAGCCCCACAAACGCTTCCTGATATCACTTTTTGTTTTACCATCGGTAATAAAAGCCAAAAAGCATCATCAAATCAAATGAAACGAAAGATTTTTATTGTTCGGAAGGTGTGAATTTCTGGATGAACAACGCAACCGTTCAAAGAGCATCAGCTCTCATCGTTTTCGAACTCACACACTATGTAATAAAATGAAATTTGTGTTCTCGTAAAACGGTCCGATTTTCGCTGTTAGAGTTGCTTTACAACCTTGTTTCTGCTAACGATAGAAAGAGGCCCAAGCGACTCATTATTACTGCCCATCTGAAATTCTATTCCTTTTCAGTGTGCTACCATAAGACAACTTTTGCAACATTAAACACGTAAATAATCTAACAATTAAGTAAAATACCTTTTTGCTGTAAAAATATTTTAAAACACATAAAAAAATGCAAAACAAACTGTTCTTCTGAAGCAGATTAATATGGAGCAACCAGCTCAAAATTTACCTTTCCCGAATACACCGGTTCGATTCCTGGTTCTGATGTCTTGGTTGAAGTTTAGGTGTCTGTAGTTTCCTTGAATCCTTGAAGTAAATGGTGGGGCTGTAATATTCCAAAAATGATCTTTTACTTCTCATCTGTATCCTATCTCTCTTACAGTCGCACTAAAGAAGTAATTAATGGTCATTCCCTGGTCATAAACTGACGATCGCCTTCATTGGCCCAAGAATGAGAAGTACGGAAGGCTATTAGATTATCAATTCATGATAGAGGCAATCTAATTCATTTCAAATTTCCTTTCAGTGCTTGCATGATGCATTTCAACAATGCATTATTGGAAGTCAAATTTAACGCGATAGTAAAATAATATTTACATATAAAATGTTGAATAGAAAAAAAGTTGAATGAAACTTTTGGTTTAAATCTATGAATATGTATTGGTGTTTGAATGATATTTAATTTTACTAACATTCATTTAATTTTTACGTAACATTGAAGAGATTTGTTCAAAGAAATTTCTATCCAAATATGTTTTAGGTCCCAGGGAAGAATTTGATCTACATATGATGACTGAATTTAAAATTCATATAAATGTTAAAGTGAATCCATATGAAAGATTGGGTGGACCATTACAACGACACGTTCAAAAGATGTAAACTTTAATAGACTTTAGAAAATTACACTTTGAGAGGTGAAAGGGAAGCTACGGAACTAAAGCACCAACACTTACAAGCATAATACGTTACAACACAATAATATGACAATTACTTAATTTCATTTTTAAATAACAGATCCATAGCTCAATCTAACAGTTAGTCTGTCTAACGATTTGAAAAAATGTAAATCCTGAATTTTTGCGATTTCGATCTACTTCCCAATAAACTGACATCCAATACACGCGTGCAATAGAGCAGATATTGGTAAATGATTGCAATTCAGATGTACTTCATATAAACATAGTGTGATTGAAATTTATATCCCGTTTATCAAATCATAAATTGAAATCAAACACTGCCTTACGGTATCATCGTATATTCAAACCATTATGCAAATGTCAATATTATCTGACCATTTTGTATTTACAATTCAATAATAATAATGACTTTCACGTTTGAAATTGAAACAAACACCACCAGAGCCCCCACACAAATAATAATTCATTATTTTCTTTATCTAATGAAGGTACGTGAACACGAATTAATTACATGGATCATTTATTAAACGTTTAGCTATTTATTGAGCCGTACTATAGATTCAACCATAATGGGGGGGGGGGTTCTTAAAAGGAAACCAGACTAAGACAAGACCCTGAAGAGGGCAGCAGCTTCTTCAGTACTCAGGGTGGCTGAGATCACAAGGATCGGTATGGCACTCCGATGCACAATACTGCGATGTGGAAGGTAACGAGAAATCACCACATTATGATATACCAACCGTGGATAGAGAGGGTTAGAAATGAAAAGATATTAGAAAAAATAGGAAAACAGAGGACTCTATGTAAGTCAATGAGAAAAAGGCGAGATAAGTTAGCAGGACACCTTCTCAGGCATGAAGGTCTAATCAGAAACATATTACAGGCAGAAACAGGAGTTAGAAGGAGTACATGCAGACTTAGATTAGGTTACTATTCACAAATAGTTTAAGATGTGGGATGTTTTAGTTTTAGGGAAATGCCAAGATTAGCTCAGGATAGGAAATATTGGAGGTACGTCTCCAACCAGATTTAGGACTGACGACCTTATGATGATAGCTATTTATTTGCAAATCTTCAGGAAAATGTGTCTGTCGGAGTTAAATAAGGGTCCATCATCTTTTCTATTAAATGTTAACAATTATTTACTCACAAAAATTAAGTAATTCATTAATGCTTGATGAAACTAAGACTATACACATATATATCCAATCGCAATAGATGAATCCAATTTTCAGGTACAGGTTGTCTTTATAACCAAATTGACATTGGCGATATTGGATGATACCGCGATATCGGAAGGAATAATCATGGTTTATTAGAAACTGTCTAAAAGTGATAAACCAATTTTCCATTCTTAACTAGTGAGGTGTTACTCTGGGAGAGATTTTCATTCAAATTTCAAGAGGATGTCGTTGGTATCAAATTGGAGGGTTTAAAGAGGTTTGCAGAAAATGTGAATTTTAAAAGCTTTATGTTTATTGTAAAACTTGCTCGGAATAACAAACCAAAGTTGCTTTATTAGAAGACAAACATTAACTAATCCAAATTCCTCACTAGGAACAGAAGCAAATTCAACAAAGGTGATAAATAAAAGAAGATATTGGACGAGTTCATAACTAAATGCCCTAACCATTTCCTAATTAATCAAACCTTAATCTTATAGTAAATACTGAAAATAGTTATCGTTGTAGGTTAAATTTAGACCTACCTCCAAGATAGTTTAAAACTAGAGAGAAGGTACATTGGTGTAAACTTTAAAAGCAAATATCTCCTTAAAATCAATAGGTCCTAAAACAGTTTATGAGATCTATCTAAAAAAACTCCACTCAATGAAGTAAGAGTAAGAGAAAGAAAAAATTGAATACACTCTTCAGTATACGGGACAGATGACCAAAAAAACTACTTTTTAAGTTTTCACAATTTTACTCGTTTTGGATATACTGAAAGTAAGAACTTCCAAATCGGTAACAACTACATTTTAATTTTTTAGACCATATAAAATTGACTAAAACGATTAATGATGAGCAAAATTGGTCTCAGCCTTGTGTAGTCTTGGTGTTGGTCTTTTGTAAATGCAAGACCAAGATTGTCTTTATACTCGCAAGACCAAGACGGAACGAACAATACCAGAACTAAAACCAAGGCAAACATGCAAGGCCAAGACCAAATACGCGAATCTAAACATTACTACTTCCAATGGATTTATAAGTTAAACTACTTGCAGCAACTTCTTTTCTTGCAACAAAACACTTTTAGTATTTGAAATTTTCATTCTTCTTTGCTAGATTTTAACACTAAATATAGAAAAGAAGAAACTGTACCACTGTTTGAATAAAGGGATTTACAAGGATGTCCTCAGAGTAAGTATTCTTTGTTCCTATGTCAGGATAACGTGGTTGAAATATAGAGACCAACTAAATGAGCTAATCTTCGTATTTCCCCAAAACTAGAAAATCCCACATCCATAACTATTTGTGAAGAGTAATCTAATCTAGGTGCATCTCCACTTCTCTTAACTCCTGTTTCTGCCTCTAATATGTCTCACCTATTTCTTATTGGCCATAGAGTCTTCTGTTCACATATTCTTTCTAATACCTCTTCATTTCTAGCCTTTTCTATCCACAGTTTCCTTATCATTCCTAACCTTTTCTTTTCTGCCGCGCCCACTATCCATGTTTCGCAACCGTACAGTGCCGCGCTCCTAGCATACACCTTTAACAATCTTTTTCGAATTTCCAAATTAACCGTTCGCGAGCATAGAAGTGACTTCTTTTTATTGAAGGCGACTCGACCCTGCGCTATCCTCTACTTTATATGTCACTACTCCTTCCGTCCTAACTTATCTGACTTCCTAGATACTTAAAATCAATCACTTCTAATTTTTCGTATCCTATTTTTATATTCGCTCTTTCCCTACTTTTTCTTCCCTTGCATACCAGTATTTCTGTTTTACTTTTATTTATTTTCAAACAATACTATTTTGTCAACACCTCTTCCATTTTA